ACTTAGTGACCCAAATTCAATTTTACCACTTGTAACTCGTTTTAGACCAGTTTGATGTTCCTAACAAGGCAAAATTGACCTATCTGAGCTACCCAAACATCCCAATTGCACTTAAGACCTCCAATGCTCAAAATCACTACCTCACTTCCTCTCAAAGTGGCCTAAAACCCTAATAGTTCACTCAACATAGTGTATACTCCTTCACTTTCCATCTGAACCCTCATTTAACAAAACTCATACCTTAAACATATCAGATTTCAAATATCACCTCAGCCCAACCAAATCCACAGTCACAATTTCCAGCATACAGTTCAAGTCATACAGAAAGTCTTTTTAAAACATAAATTCAACCCAAACAGCATGGTCACACAAAGTTTAGCACATCTACACATGTCATAAAATGATAAATTTTAAGAAAGACCTAGCTCCCCTTACCTTGGAGTTGAACAGTCCAACTCACCACACCGCTTCCATAGTACCCTAGTCGGTAAAGAACCTAAACAATGCCCTACAACCACCGAAACGGTGATGGAAACAGCTCATAGAGCTAGGATTGAGTAGAAAAGGAAAAAGGGAAAAGCACAAGGCACATGCAACCAGCAAGAATGCATGTTCCAATTTAAGAACAACGGAGAACTACATGTAAGGACTTACCAGCCTAGGACCCGAAATGAATCGGTCATTTGTGAAGCCCTTTGCGTTGCAGATGTTTGGGCGCCAGATCCAATGGCTCAGTGAAGAGAAATGAAAGAGAGAAGGTAGAAAACTTTGAAGATCTGAGTTTTAGAGAGAGATAGAAGGATTGAGCTAATGAACCAGAGTGTTCTGAAAGTTATTTATATTGGTGATTAAAAGAAAATCTGGTTTCATTTAACATAATACACCTATCAGCTTTCTAATTTCTAATTTTCAGGTTCTCACACTTTCTTTATTTATATCATTTGTGATAAGTTTCAATGTAATTTGAAGGAGAATTTGTTCCAAAAAGATAATAAAAACGATTTATAAGTTTAACAATTCAATAATAAAATTTTAAAATTTAAGGATGTATTTAACAGTTTCAAAATAACCTATGCATATAATTAAGATAGTGATTTTAATCATTCTCCAAAGGAGCATTAATGTTAAACTTTTGTTTAACGATTCTGTACAATGACCCTTGTTTTTAAATCTTCATAGAATGTTTCTACGTACGAACTCTAGTTGTATATCTCCTCTATGTCGTAAAATATTTTATAATATCTTATTTATAGAATACATTGTCTGAGTTTAGAATCAAACAACAATTTCTTAAACTATAAAACATTTTTTATTGAAAATAATTATAAAAATAAATAACTTATATATTTTTTATTAAAATAGTTTTTTTTTATTTTAAATAACTATATAAATTATAAAAATAATTATTAAAAAGATAAAATGGTAAAATAATTGTTTTAATTTATAAAATAATTAAATCTAGATAGCAGTAACAGAAATATAATTATTTTAATTTAAAATAAAGGTTAGTTAGAAAATAAAATCGAGAAAATGTATACACGAAAAAATAATCTTAAAGTGGTAGAAATTTATTGTCTTTTTTTTTTTTTTTTTACCGTAAGCTTGCATTGCACTATAGCCACTAGTATCTTTGACCATATAGTTGGATAATTATCAAAGTGAAACTTGTATGATAAATAAAAAATTCACTTTATTTTCAGCTTTTACATGTTAATATCACATGTAACTTGATGAAAGATAAAATCTTATATCATATTTGATTGTTTTTTAAACAATACTTTTTTAATTAAAAATGATCTACAAATTAAGTAAAACTATTTACTATACAATTGTAAAAATTATTTATACTTAATTTTATCATTATAATAATAATAATAATAATAATTTTATTATTTTTTATTATCATTAAAAAGAAGTGAACATACGCGCATCACTAGTTTACTCAATGAAGATACTATAATTATTAGTTTATGCATTATGGTATTTATTATGTATTACTTATGGTAGAATTTTAGTATACATAGTGATAACTTAATAAATTTAGGAAGTATACATATATGGAGTTCTTATTTCAAACTTGTGTTCTTTGGAAGTTTGAATATTTGAGTGAAAACATGTTATATAATAAAAAAATATTTTAGTAATTATTTATAGATTTAGATTTATCGATAAGTCTATATTAAAAATTTATAGATAATGGTTATAATATCTCATTTTAATAAAATATTTCTATTCAAATAAAATAGCATAAATTTATTAATTCAAACAGATAAACCAAATATTAAGAATTCCTACTACAGTTATCTAAAAGTATAAATATAATATCAGGATATTCTCAAAAACTTCACTTTAGAAAATATAATTAAACTTTACAAGAGTTTCTAAAAAGAAATAAATAAAGAAAAATTAAAGGGAAAATAAGAACTAAGCAGTGGCAACATTTTCATTCACAAATGTCTCGGCTTCCTCGTATGCTCACACCAAAATTAGTGTTACTAAAAAAGAAGTACAACAAAACATAACAAATATAAGGGTAATTTAGTAGATAAAAATAACATTCTTATAACATATTTTAGACATAACAAGTCAACTAGTCATAAAAATTAAAAACATATTTACAAAAATTCTAAACTCAATTATTTGAATACATAAATTATATTAAATTCACTAAAAATATAAAATAGAAGTTACAATATATTTATTTTACTTACTTTTAATTAAATTGTATTCAATTTGTAGAATTATCCTTATTCGAAATTTTATTTTAAATAAAGGTTAGAATAATTTTATGTAACTTTTTAAACAAATTATATATATATATATATATATATATATATATAAATTTTTTACGATAAATAATATATATTGATATCATGTTTTAAGATGAAAAAATATTCAAATTGTTTAGAATATCTCACTTATTTGTTTTTCTTCTTCCTTATCTACTTTTAGGTTGATTAACAAATTAATCATTAATAAATACCTATTTTGATTTTTATATTTATCATTTTTGTTTAAAGTGGTCTTCAAGTTTTTTTTATGTCCAAAGTTTTTGTTTTGTAAAATTTATTCAATTTAATCCTTTTCGCTGAGGGCATCTAAGCAAATATTGAATGAACCGTCAATTTTAAAAATACATGATAAGTTAGGTGAAAATGACGTAACAATGATAAGTTAAAATATAAAATAAATTAACATTAGTTTTGACGATTGAATTTGGATTGAAAAAATTGGTGAAATTGTTTTCAATCATCATCCTCCACCACGAGACCTTTGCACCCCCATGAACTCAACCTAAAAGCAGCAACCAGAACCAGACCCAAATCGTGAAATACGAAAACCCGATTGCGATCTTCACCATTGCGAAAACTCCAATTGCAAACCCTAAAACCATAAATTAGCATAACCCCATCTTCCTCCGTCAACCATCTTTGCACCGCCATAGAGAAACTCAGTCACAAATCTACGAATTCGAACCACTTAAATCCCCAATCTCACCGCGAAGCAAAGCGCCTCCATAGAACCTACAAAAACATCGAAATTACATAACCAAAATCCCTTTGCACCACGAAACTACCACGATAGAACCCCCAAATCGCCAGTTTGATTCGCACATCATCAGACCTTCATCTCCACGCACCTGCACAGAAAACACAACATCAGATTAAGAACACTCACCTGACCTACGCTCCTCCAATTGTAATTTGAATGAACAACGAACTTAAATTGAACAACAATCAAACAAATTCTTCAACCCAAATTGAACACTAATTGAACGATCCCTTCGAAACCAATGTTAATTTTGTTTTACATAAACAATTTAACTTACCATTATCAGGTCACTTTCCCTTAACTTGCCTCATATATTCAAAACTAACACTTATTCAATATTGACTTAGGTGGATATTACACTGTTAGCAATTTAAATGCTGTGAGTGAAAAATACCAAAATGAACAAATTTTACAAAATAGGGAACCAATTTGAATGTCGAAAAAACTTGAAGATCACTTTTTGAACAAAAATAACGAATATAAAAATCAAAATAGATATTAAGTCTCAACAACATATACTTGAAAGCTCGAAAGAAATCGGTGTATCATGCATTGATGAAATTGAGAATTTCATAATATAAATTTGAGGTGGAAGGAAAATTGATAGAACAAAGGAAAACAAAAAAAAAAATATGGAAAGAAGTAATTTGAAGAGATATATACTAGGTAGAGGTAGAGGAAGATGACATAAGAATCTAATTCTATTTTTAAGGAGGACAAACTAGGTAGAATAACAGTTGTAGAGACCACGTAATGAGTTATTCTGAACGTCCTGCTAAACAAGTTTGTATGGACATGTTCTTTTTATTCTCACACTCTCTCACCATGCCTCAATTACATTGAAGTTTTAACTTACAAGTTTGGCATACTTTCTCGTTTTTCATGCCACCCAATTGCCCAAAGGACCCCAAAAATATACTTCAAAATATGATTGTCTTCTTGTCTACCAAAATATGGCAAAAACCTGCCCTACGAATTTATTCAAGATAGGAATCATCTCCATTTTTGGAAAACATATCACTATCCCCAAGATTTTTAGATTTTAAACCAAATCCAAATAACACTTCTACATATTTACTCTTCATCATTTTTTTCCCATTTTTCTTTCAATCTTTCTCAATTATCCACATTCAAAGGATAATTGAGTCTTTCTATATCTTCATTTATCTCTATATATACCACCCCAGTTAGCTTCATCATATACATCATCCATCTTCATTAATTCTCCCCTCCAACTCATTCTCATTCAGGTCAGTGCTATTGCAATGCTGCATTATATATTTCAATATTATTTATATACTTTGACATATCAGATAGACTCACTTTCAAAACACATTATATATAGCTAAATTTAAACAATTTTTTTTTATATATTTATATACGTATATAACATCGTTTGCTAAGAGAATTTTTGTTTTTTAAACTAGTGGAAAGAAAAAAAAGTGAATATGGCACGTAGAAACTTTGGAAGCCAGATAACAGCACTTGTTGTAGATGACAATGTACTGAACAGAAGGATTCATGAAAAGCTGTTGGAGAGTGCTGGAGTGAGAAATCACGAGGGAGTGGAAAATGGGAAAGTAGCAGTGGATATTCATTGCCATGGACGAAGATTCGACCTCATTCTCATGGACATGGACATGCCAATAATGAATGGCATTCAGGTCCTCACGTTACATCCCATGCAACTTTACCATTATTATTTCTATTTTTTCTAAATTTCGATTCTTAAATTTTTTTAGGCAACAAAGGAACTTCGTTCCATGGGCATTGGGAGCATGATCGTTGGTGTGTCATCACGTTGTACGGAAACAGAAATACGAAAATTTATGGAATCAGGATTGAATGACTACCATGAGAAACCATTGAACACTGCAAAGCTTAATTCAATTCTTGATAAGATGAACCCTAATTTTACTAATAAATGAGCGAAGATCCAACCGGCTAATGCATGGATGAATAAAAACCTTAACCTTACCACTTCCTTGTTATTTCCATGTTGTCATGTTTTTTTTTTCTCTCTTTTGGTTATTCTGTTGTACTTTCTCTTACTATGGTCAAATATGTGACTGTGTGATATCACTGTATCAATGTTACAGAAAATAAGGAAAAGAGTTGAGAAATAACTCTTGTTCAATCCATGATCAATACTGCCACATGATTAGTTCAAGTCTTATGTCTGACGTCATTATCATAGAAGATGCATGTTGTTACACACTTCTGCTCATGCATTTAAACTCACCCAAAAGAAAAGTACTGATAAAATGATTTATAAGATGGAAACTAACGTCATGTTCAACTTGAACGAGATGAACAATTATTTCAATTGTATTCAAGACGATTGAATAAGAAAAAAACTAATAACAGGAGTACTACTATATTTACTATCACTAATAATAATATAATTAGGCGAGATATAAGTTTTTAATCTAAACAGTGGGTGGGTGTATAATAGAAAAAAATTAAATATTTTTTAAATGTAAAGATTTTTAATTTGAATTAGGTAACATCTTTCTTCGTTTTTAATATTTAAAAATTGAAAATTTTGATTTCGTTTTTCTTTGACGAAGAACTAAATTAAAATATTTTTTGTAGGAATTAAAAGTTTTATATTTTTCTTTCAATAATATACAAATATTTTATGGGCACATTATATTTTTTAAGAAGGAAAGGATTTTATGGGTTTATATAATTTATAATGACCGAAAGAATATCGGGAAAAAAGTGAGTGAATTATTTTAAAGTGTTTGTTTACATTTTACACCCAAATAGTATTGATCTTTTATTGAAAAAAAAAAGTATTTTATTTATAAAAAATAAATAGACACACCACTTGAAGACTGACCTATTCAATTTTCATCACAACAAAACTGGCAAAAGTCCTTCAAGTTCTTAGGTTTCCTTTGGCTTAAAAGGAGAAAAATGATCAAACAAATGTCTAAAATGCATTATAAAAAGTCAATGTTTCACTACAAATTTAATCATAAAAAAAATAGCACCCAAATCAATTGGAAAATGCAGACCTTAAAAGATAGCTACGTTGGTATCTAGATATTAATTGTAAACTCACTTTTAAAAATAAGTTATTAAAAAAGATAATTAAAAAAATAGTACATCTTATACTTGATTAATTAATATTATCAAGTTGACATGGCAATTTTGATAAGAGAGTTGTTACAGTACCTAAAGAAATATATTTTAAAGAGCATCTTCAAAGTAAACGAATTGCAGAGTGAAATTCTAGATGATTGGAAACCACATCAAATATTCACTCTCTCTTCTGTGGAACCGTTCCTTTTTTCTCTAAAGTGCCCAACATGTATTTTAAAGTAACATTTGCAACACTGCAAAATTTACACTTTTAATATTAGTTTCTTTACATCACCCTTCTTTTTATTTACAATGATATTTTTTATTTTTAAACGTCATTCTTAATGCAATCTCTATATTTTCTTTATTAGTTTAAACTTAGAAACAAAGTATACATTTATATACTATCTAATATATATGCCATTAAGATTGATGATATAAAATATAAAAGAACTTGGTGTATTGTGGGTCATGAATAAACTTTAGTGAGTTCAAATTGATTGTAAAAAAAGATGACGTGACATTATGAGAAAACTAAATATCCTTAAAAATTGTAATAAAAAAGTATTTGGTTTTTTAATGTCTTAATATTGTTTAACATACTTCTTTATTTAGTGAAAAAATGTACAGTCGCTTGTATGTCTGTCAAAACAAAAAGTATATTTGTTTAATTTTAATAAATTATAATTAATTATAAAATAGTATGTCTGGTATTATTTTCATAGGCATGTTTAATAGAGAATGTATTATTAATTTTGTTAGTCTCAATTATTATCCAGGTGAGTGAAAGAAATTTATAGATCCAAGAAAATTTTCAACCTAACAAAACTTTAATTAATTAAAGGATTAAATATATATATTTGTAATTGGAACTCAAAATTGATAATCTTTTATATATTTTTGTTTGATCCTTGAATTCTAAAATTGAAAACATATAGTTTTCTTAAATCAATGTAGTTAAAGTTTAAACATTAACTTGAAATGCCCTTAACATATAAAAAAAGTTAATATAATTAAGTTAAAATATAAAAGAGAAACGAATTTTAATTTCCTATCAATGTTTAATCCTTAATTAAATCTATCCTCCTATCAAAATCAACTATAACATCATTACACATAATGAAAGGATCAAAATAACCATATAAAAAACATTATTTTATGGTCTCTTTTTTATTTTTCTGACAAAAAACATCTTGGTTGAAGATTTATAAAGGTCGGCAGGAACACTAGGGAGCCAGGTAGAAAAAACATTATATGTAGGAAAAATTTATACATGCAGAGAATAAAACAGAAAGAAAGGAGCTTGCCGGGTAGAAACTAGCAAGAAAGCACCTTCCTCTTACATTTATAAATTCTGTCTAGTTGAAATTCAATCCAGCAAGACTTGCCATCAAAAGAATGCTAATATTTTTGGAATGGCCAAAGACTTCTAAAGAACCTTTAAAACTATCGAATTTTATGCTACGTTTCACACAATTTTCCTTCAAATCTCTCAAGGAATATACTCTTATCCTTCTTCTTTTCATGGATAATCGAGTTTAGCACTTCTACTAATTAATTACCAAAGTTAATTTTATTCTTTTTTTTTTCTCTACTTTAGTGACTATTTCAGCCCAAGATTCCAATTCTAAAACCTTATTCTTGTCCTCCCATATTATGAACACTCTGTAGGAAAGGAATCTTTCAAAGGGAAGCTTTTGAACCAAACATATCTTCGAAAAGAGATGATTTTGTTTCCACTTTTTTCTTTTTTCGGGCTAAAAGACTTAAACATCTTATTTTATTTTCCTATATTCAGATTTTTCTCCAAAATCCCAGACTGAATATCCATATATTGGAGATTTTGTTTTCCCATACTTAAATTTGGAACCTCTATATATCTTTTAATAGCCTCCATCTTCATTTTTATAAAGGCTACTTAAATCATTTGAGATTTTTTTTTCTGATTTGCATTTTCCACTTAACCTAAAAGGACTTTTTCTTTTATTTTCAATTCCTTTTCGCTTAAGAATATTGTTTGGTTTGAACTTTCAACTATATATGTAAAGTGCAAAAAAGGTTTTTTAAGTCAAGAGAAGAGAAGAAAAATTATAATTCTCTTTACATTCACAGTTGAATCAAGTTGAAAATTGAACATTAAGTTTTTAGTATTATTTTTTTAAAATTTTAACCGTTGGGAGCAGGAATTAAAAGTATGATGGAAGAAATCAATTTTACACAATTAATATATTTTAAATTCTTTTTTCTTCTTTAAATTAGAAAACTTGTTATTTTTACGTATTGAGTTGTTGCAAATGCTTATTTATCCATTTGACGTAACCCTATTGAGAATTTTATTAGATCTTAGTAAAACTTGATTAATTAATTTGCCTTTATCACTTTTTTTATATATTTTTTACATAATAAAAGTAATTCTATATTAAAAATATACGTGTCTCCTCTTGTTAATGTGGTTCTCGTTTTATGTCGTTGTATAAACTCTTCGAAGATTGGAGAATTGTTTGTGATGATGATACTTTTGAATGAGTTGAATTTTAGGTTAATAATTCTATTGAATAAAATTCCACTAATTACCCTTAGTTTGATAATTCTGTGCCTCAAAGCTTCCAACGGCTGTGAAAAGATTCTTTGGATGGATATTAGTGGCTTTAAAGTGTCGGATGAAATTGAAATAAAGGAAGGCCACCTATATTGTAGATCAGAAAAGATGAAAGTGATTAATAAATTATTGAATTGTTTGTGTTGCTTTTTGTGAAAGTTTATTTTAGTTCAGATTGATTAGGAACTCCTGAAAATGGAGTTTGTGGTCCAGAGAACCTCGAAGTTAAAGAAGAAAGATTTTTGTCTCAACTTTTTCTTAACTTTACACCTTTTTAAGCTTTCCAATATTTGTTGCCTACCAATTAACCAACCCTCCAAAATCTATTTTCTGTTAGATTTTCATTTACCAGAACTCAACATTGTCTAAAACTACACAAAATCTAATCCAAGATTTCTGTTATCCTAAATTGTCCCATCATCCAATCCAGATTCTTCTCCCATCATTACACTTTTTAAGATTAATAAATATACGCATTTACTTTTATTTTTAATTAAACAAACTTTAAGTTTTGAAGCAAAAGGCTAATATATATTTCGTATCTTATATTTTTCTCTCTTTTTTTTTTTAAATCAGACACATTATTTTTTTTTCTTTCACTATTTTTTCATAAAACTATGAGATGTATAGATAAGAAAGAAATTCATATCATAAATTACACTATCATAGTAAACGCAAACTAAAAGAAATCTTGTTATTCTCTTTAACTAGTGTATATTTACAAACTCTAAATAGGTAAGTAAAACTTATGAAATACGCAAATATTATAATAAAGAGAATTAAATTATTTTATATGATTTTTATATTGTAAATTCTGCGTGTACTACTTATTATTATTTCAAATATTTTGATTATTTTAAAATTAATTTGTGCACAATTCCAAAGCTTTGAATTATTTAAGAAAAATAGAAAATCAAATCAAATTTATATAGATAAAACATTTATTTGTTAAATTAAAATAACAGATAAAATATTTGAGACGATGATTTTTTAAATAAATTTTATATTTAATTAATAATTTGATTTACACATTTAGATTTATGATTATTTTTTTAAATAGTATTAAGTGAAGTAAACATTTTCCGAATATGAAAATATGTTGTCCTTTTTTTTTTCAACGACATAACCCACCTCCTCAAAAGTTAAATTAGGACCATTCTAGGAAGACAAAACCAGCCAAAAACCTACGAGCGAAAAGTTCAGGTTTCCGACGAGGTTCGTAATCTCGTGCTTCCAGCATATACTCTTATTGCTAATACAGAAGTGTTTTCTGCACCAGGTTTTAATGAA